ACCCCTATGCCATCCCTTTCCCTTTGTCCCTTGAAACAGAGTGTCAAGGGGTAGGGGTGAAAATATTCCCCTAAGAAATGGGACACCACTACTATACCATTACACATCATCATATGTCATCTAGCTTCTACAAGACACAACTATACTGGTGTGCTGGTGTGCATTAGAGCCTTTAATTACTGTTCTATATTAATACACTGCTTTTACTGACACACACATGCACACACATATCGGAATTCACACAGCTCACACATTCAGGAGCAAAGAAACTTGTCAACGCTGCCCCGCGACTTTTATTAATAACGTAGTTTAAAAGACTGAATTGCTACATTATATTTTCCAGCAACGAGTGGATAAAATCGCTGTTTTTGAAGTAAGCTCACTCATTGTAAAGAGAGACGTACAGACGTGCATACACGCAACTTTCGTCTCTCTCTTTCAAATTGACCATATTTGAGAAAACGGTTTAGCGATTTCTAATTATTGGGGGGACTAGCCCCCCTCAATGTCTATGATGGCTATCACCCTGATCATACATGAAAATATGTTGTGGTACAATCGTGCAATCAATAATAATTTAACGCTAGCAAACTTTAGCGATTTTTTGCAAACATTTCTTTGAATAAAATGACCGTAAATATGAACACACGATTGAATGTAACATAAAACAAATGATTACTTTTCATTAAAATCTTTATTAATGCCAAAAAATTATTACATGTATTGGTCTTTTTGTTCGCTCGGGCAGCCATGTTGCCGCTGTAGCCAGTTTATGCTGAGACTTCTCATACCCCTTCTTTTGAATTGTGGTCCCGAAAAATCTTTGTTTGAAGGGGTATCTCGCCCTTCCCCCTACCCCTACACCTCCAACCAAAAGAGATTCGAGACATCCCTACCCCTTCACGTGAATACGTGAAACGGAGGGGTAGGGGTTAGTGTAGGGGTAAGGGGTAGAAATGGGATTGGGCCTTAGTCAGATACATGAAATGATTCGTGTAATATACTCTGATTACTAATGTATAACTGTTTAGAGGTTTTTGCCTTGCTTCTCAGTTTTATTTGGACCTCTAGGCACTCTTTAATCGGAACGTAAATGTAAACACAAATTTATATTACAAAAAAGTAAAAACGTATGCCTGTCATTGTGAAATGGTAGAAACATCATGTAATGGTTTGACAAATGCTATTTTGTTCCTGTGTTGAAATATTTCCTATCGAAACAGGAAGTTTGTGCTGGACATTGAAGGCTTTGTGCTTTTTTTCAAAAATAAATACATTTCAATTTAAGACACATTACCAAACCATTATTTGCTACTGTTAATGCTAGGCTGACTGTGTGTTTTCTAGGAAGAGAAAGTGCATTTTCAAAAGTGTACATCTGCTAAATGTTTGAGTCAACTTTTATTAGCACACTAGCATGACCTCAAAGCTAAGAGACAACCTACATTCTTTGATTCTTGATTCTTTTAATGCTATTTGAAAATGTCTGTGTTTGACTGTGCATGTGTTTATGCTGCCCCCGCAGGACTGCTGTGGAAATTGCAGCGACAGTGAGGAGGAGCCCACACGGCTGTGAAGGCGTGGCCTGGTTGTGGCTCCTCCCCTACACCACTGAGGATCTCATTTGTTTACAGTTTTTGCACATTTGTATTTTTAAGATAGCTCTATATAAACATTGGAATGTATATTTTCACTATATAGCCATGCAGTGTATCTTATATTTAAAGTCATCGAAAAGAAAAGGACAGAAAAAAGGGTCCCAATTATCATCCTTTATCATGGGTGACGTATGGAAAGGACAGATCGTTCAACACTGCTCAAGTCTCAAACTCGGTTGACCCAACCGATCCTGTACATTTCGTCAGTATGTCTTGCAGCCTCTTTGCGCTTTTTTTCTTTTTTGGTTCTTGTACGATTTCACACACATGTACAGTATGCACTCTGAATATTTGTTTTAGACGCGGGGAGCAAAGGAAATTTGCTTTTGCAGATATTTTTATATTTATATTTTGAATTTTATTTTCTTATGGTAATCTCGACAATCAAATGACACCATTTGTATAAAACAGTGATAAATGTGCATTAATAGAATTTTGAAAAAAAAAAAAGCAAAAACAGGAAGTGACTATAAAACAGAGGGAAATTTTAACATCATAAATTCTCTACCAGACGTCTCAAATATGTACGGTTACTTAGCTAGAGATACCTAGAAAACCAAATAGACGTGACTAAAATGCATATACAGTGGGGAAAAAAAGTATTTAGTCAGCCACCAATTGTGCAAGTTCTCCCACTTAAAAAGATGAGAGAGGCCTGTAATTTTCATCATAGGTATACCTCAACTATGAGAGACAAAATGAGAAAAAAAAATCCAGAAAATCACATTGTAGGATTTTTAAAGAATTTATTTGCAAATTATGGTGGAAAATAAGTATTTGGTCAATAACAAAATTTCATCTCAATACTTTGTTATATACACTTTGTTGGCAACAACAACAGTTGTACCATGTTGTAAATATGCGACACTCATCTGTAAAGTCTTCAGCACGTCTTCCTGCTAATTCTTCTTTGGATAATTAGGAAAAACATCCTGATTATAGTCCTGTGTGGCCCATATGTTACAAAATGAGTCGAATCATGAGGCATTCTTTTCCATTTACGGTATATTTCATAACATGACTGGTAACGACATGACAGTAATTTGTCATTCCAGCTCTGAAGACCGAAAGACTTTAATTAAGGCCTGTTTCACACTGCACACGTAAGCAGAGCGTAAGCAGCGCATATATTTTCTTGGCGCTCATGTTACCAGATTTCAACATTCACATTGGATGCTGAGGCGATGCAGCAATGCGTAGCAGAGCAGAAGCAGCAGTGCCGCAAATATTTGCTTCACTGCTCACGCAGTATTTTTGGCCAAAATATGCATGTTGACATGAGAAATGAACAAATTTACCATAAACTTTCAGAAAAATTTAATCCCTGAAAATGCAAGGAGTTTGTTTGCCCAAACCTCAAAGCATGTTTAAATAATTACAGTTTTAACAAATTTACCATAAAATTATAAAAGTGATGTCTACTGTGTTTCACACAGTCATCAAATGACTTTCAGCACTTTAAAAAAATTAAATCCCTGAAAATGCAAGGAGTTTGTTTGCCCAAACCTCAAAGCATGTTTAAATAATTACAGTTTTTCTCAATCGATTTGACACTTTGTGACACAAACTCACTGTTCTCAAAACAATTAACACCGTGATCTGAAAACTTTATAATTGTCCTAAACAGATCGTACGTTTTCATTCATTTCATACAAATTACAAATCATGCTAATCATTTTCTCAAAACAATGTGCACAAAACTCTCAAATGTTTTCACAATAGTTCATACAACCAACCAATACTTTAAAATAGCTGAAAAAAGGTTTTACACAAATCACAAACACTTATGTACCATTTGTCCAAACACAACAAACAAAACTCTGTAATTTGCCATTCTATCAAATGAACATGGTATATTTTCGATTGGCCCTAAACTGATATTTGTTCAGTTAATCATACACTCAACACAGGAAATGCAGTTTTCCTAATCGTTTACAAATGTATCACAGTTGCTTTAGAGTAATAAAAAAAGGGAAAGCATACAAAGAGCAAGAACAACTATGCAAAAAATAATAATAATAATAAAATATAAAAAAAATGATGAAGATGTTGAGACAGGAGCTTGACAAGCATGGATTCAACTTTCTTACATTTTTTCTCCTAGTTAGATCAAATGTAATGAAATTCTCTTCCAGATGTAAATGAAAGGCAAGATCAATAATTCAGGATAATTCATGTATACAGCAAACACACACATGTGTGTATATACAATGGTGGCCAAAATTATTAGAACACTAGTATATATATATAGATATCCACCACTGTGCTGTAAAAGACTGATCTGTAGTTATCAGAAAAGTTTGTTTGCCGTTCTTGCTGCTAAAGGTGGCACAAACAGATTTTAAGTTTAAAGGGGCAATTCGTTTTTTCTCATGGGTGACAGCAGGTGTTGGATAACAATTTTTATTTCGTTTAGACATACACAGTATATATAAAACAAAACTCCCTGTTGAAGAATTGCAATAAACATGTATTTTCATTAGCATATTTGTGCATCTACAGCTAAGTGTGTTTATTAATCAATAGAGAACACGCCTATAGATTTTATGTTAATATTTACTTTTAATAAATGCATTACTAGAAAATAATTGCAGTGCTTCATTTTGCAGTTGAACTGTTTGGTTAAGATCATTTTGTGTTTGGATGGCTGTGCTAGTTGTTTTGAGAACAAGTACATTGCATTGGAGAAAAGTGTCAAATCGATTGAGAAAAACTGTACATGATTAGAGATATAGCTTAAAGGGATAGTTCACCCAAAAATGAAAATTCTGTCATTAATTACTCACCCTCATGTCGTTCCAAAACCGTAAGACCTTTGTTCATCTTCAGAACACAAATTAAGATATTTTTGATGAAATCTAACAGCTCTCTAACCTTCCATAGACAGCAAGGATATTAACACGATCAAGGCTCAGAAACGTAGTAAGGACATCGGTAAAATAATCCATGTGACGTCAGTGGTTCAACCGTAATTTTACGAAGCTACGAGAATACTTAATGTGCGCAAAGAAAACAATAATAACAATTTATTCAGCAATTCTTCTCCCAGAGTTACCGTCTTCCGCCATTTTGGAGAGTATCCCAGAACGTAATTGTTCATTAATTGTTTTCTTTGCGCACAAAAAGTATTTTTGTAGCTCCGTAAAATTACGGTTGAACCACTGATGTCACAGATTATTTTACCGATGTCCTTACTATGGCTCTGTGCCTTGATCGTGGTAATATCCTTGCTGTCCATGGGAGGGTCCGAGAACTCTCGGAATTCATCAAAAATATCTTAATTTGTGAAGAATGATGAACGAAGGTCTTACGGGTTTGGAACGACGTGAGGGTGAATAATTAACGACAGAATTTGGGTGAACTAACCCTTTAAGTTTAAAATGCATTTTACTATAAACTATATTTAATATGGTATGTGTGGGAAGGGAAAAGTGTAGCATCACAGTAGAGTATGCTGCCCATTATAAATGAAAGCATGTGACAAGCGTGGTCAGAGGAGTCCACCTAAAACAGGCAAAACAATGGACGACACTCGTCTTACCCATTCTTGATATTTTTTTTACTGTAGAATACAAGCCACATTTCAGATGGCGGTGTGAAAGCACAACGAGCATGTGCTGTTTCCGCTCTTCATATGCGCAGCTTTCGCACTGCTATCGCTCTTCTTATGCATCCAGTGTGAAACATTGTCAACATCACTTAACAGTTCAACATGCTAATAGACATTAGAAGTGTTATTTCATGTTTTAAAAGTAGATATGCGCAATTTTAATGGGCTGCGTATAATTTAATTGCTGCTTTTTTTTATATGCAGGTCAAACAAAAATGAATTTGCCAAAAAGAAATGTTTTGTTTTGTGTTATATATCCCCTGCAATCACAATAAGCTCTTTACATCTTCAGTTGCTTGGAAACATGATGTCTTGGGAACTTTGTTGTAAATTTGATCTTGATTGATGCACTTAAGACCAAACCAGTTCAATTTATGTCCTCCATCTTCATAGAAGGTGCCGTTTGAAGTATTAAGGTACTCATCATTAGGGATTTTTATTCAAATGTTTTTGAGTTAGCTTAGCATTTTGTGCACACACTTTCTATTTTCTTTGCTGTTGTTTTACCTCAAATATTACTGTGCCCTGTGGATGTTAATTGTTTCTTTTTTTTCCCCAAAACTTGTGAATTCTTATTTTGGACATCGTAGTAACTCGCAAAAGCTTTTGGACTTTGTATTGAAGCCTAGCTGAATGCGTAACATCGGTGGCCTTCCAACTCAAGGGTCTGTAAAACAGGAAGTCCATGGAAGCACCATCAGCTAATGACATGGTGGATCCTTGACTGTCAACACATTTCTCATCCATCTACAGTTTACGTTAATTCTCTTGGATAAACTCAAATACATTCCAGTCTCTACCGCACTGTACAGTTGTAAATTTGATTTTTTTTTTTGTTTGTTTTTTAGCAATAATGGATTTTGTAAGTATAACTACTTTATAAAGGTGTATAAAATGATAACATTTTTAATCTAGAGCGAGACGGAACTTAGTTTGACTCAATGTTTTCCTGAGCCAGGCTTTTAACACTGTGAAGTGATCATTTCTGTCACAGTTGTACATTTTTTGTTGCTTTTGTGCAATGCACTGATATTTTCTGTTTGCGAATTTATAACTGTGTATGTACAGTACGTGTGCCTAAAAGCTGTATGTCTGAGTGTACACTCTAAAAAATTCTGGGTTAAATATAACTTAAAAAGGAACAAAACCAGCTATTGGGTTGTTTTGAACCCAACCGCTGGGTCAAAACAACCCAATAGCTGGTTTTGTCCCTTTTTAACCCAGCATTTTTTTTTAGAGTGTATGTGCGCTTTTACCTGCACTGCATGTGCCCATATTTTTTACCACAACCACTAGTGAATGCCTTTTTTTTTTTTGCCCTGAATCAGTGAAATGTTAAGTTCTAGGGGAGCTTTCAGTGTTTGTTTGTTTCTTTTTTAAGAGGAAAGATGGAGAACTTCAGGCTCACTGATAATAAAGTTATCTATTATTAGTAATGCCAGTCATTTCAATATCATAGATTTCATGTTTACCTCAAGGCAGTGGTGGAGCTAAACTCAAAATTTCTTACCAAACAAGACTTGTACTGAGAATTATGTCAAAATGAAAATGGCAAACTTCCAGCCACATTTGTCAGTGTTATTAATTCATTTCAGTTGTCAACAATAAAAACAGACCCTGTGATATGAACTCGTGTCATATTAGTACTTCTGTTGTTGTTGTTGTTTTTTAAAGAGTATAAACATCTTTTAAGCCTCAAAGTGTATGGTGCCAGTTTAAGCATCATGTTCCATTAGCAAACAACATGCCATTGAGGGCTATAGAATCAAATATGATTTTTTTGTAACTGTGTATAATGTGCTAATATGAGTAAAGAATTGTGTATAACTGGAGGATCTGGCCACTCTAATTTCTAACAGAGGTTTAATTAGTCAATGTGCTCTTGTTATTTTCACTTACTATTGAGTTGTTTTGCTGATGGTGACTTAATTGTAATATTGTAAAAACAGATTTTAACATATCTGTATTATTCTGAAGCAGCAGTTTTTCTTTTCTTTTGCATAATATGTAGAAGTCCATAGCCCTTTCATTTAAGGCCAGAAGAATGTGTTTTGTTGCAATGAAAACTTGTCTTGTTTTTTTCTGGATTGCACATTAAATACTAATTTTTTGCTGAATTCAATAGTTAATTCTCACTCAGGTTACAGCCATCGTTATGTATGTTTTTATTTGCTTAATATTCGTACACTGCCTTACTGATAAAGTAATGTCAAGTTTCTGGTCTATGTTTGTCCATTTTAAAGTTGCATAAAAGACATGCCACTTGGAACGTTGCTTATAGACTTTGGTGTAAATTTGTATTGATGATGACAGTGAAGGAGTTTGTAGAGTAAACGTTTTTTTCTTGTCAAAGCACTGATGCTCATTTTCCCTCTGTTTGGTTTCTGCTGTCGGTCTCTGGCCTGTGAAGCCTGTACATTGCGCAAGGCCTCTCATGCAGGTCTTCTGTGTAACAAACAGAATTTTGTTTGTTTTTCATTTTTTCTGCAGTAGTATTCAACTTCAATAAATTTTTGGGGTTAGTTTTTGTGTGGTTCTTCAATTTACTTCATATTTGAATTCATTCCAAATCTATCTGTCTTCAATTTGCAACACCATAGCAATGCCCAAGCTGCTGTACAATTAACACCACCTTATTTGTCTGACATTAGCACATTTATTTATTTATGTCTATTTTCAATGGTGTAGCAATTCATGAAGGACCACTCACATCAGATGTGACTTTTAAACCAAACAGCTATGCATGAGGAAATTAAACCCGATGAAATATCTGTGCCCTCAAGCCTGTTGAAATGACAGGATTCCGTATGTGGCAATTTGCCGACTAAAGGTAAATGTGAACGCAACTTAAAATGGGTTAAGAGATATGCAACTCTATTTTTTTAACAAATGCAAAGACGGTTTATTCATCCTGACTTCTGGACAGAAGAAATAGCAGACACTGGACAAGCATGAAACTTTTAATGCACATGTGTCAGCTGCCTCAGTTAAACTTCCAGTTGTTCTTATCCATAAGTCCCTTTCAAGGAAAGTCTGTTCACTTGGCGGCCATATTTGCAATGTATCCAGGTAGCTATTTCAGGCATCCAAGACTAGTCTTATCTGCTTAAATGGAGAAATACAGAAATCTCAAAAAATGCTTGCCACACTCACATTTAAATGATATATTTAATTTACAAAATGAGACATGAACTGCCCCTTAAATGTTGTTTTTTAATGCTCAAATAGTGTTAAAAATTTATATATTTCAGGCTGGGCCAGCCAATACCCATGTGTAGTGCTAACCTCGCATCTCAGGAAACGGACTGTTTCTATGGCAAACCAGAGATTCTACTAGCAGCTGCAGTGATGCAACGATTTTACCAATTGATGACTGGATCTTTTATTTAGAAGACAAGGCTTATTCCGCCATATTGTGAATTGCACTTTCTCTCTTTGATAGTAATATGTTTGCACCGTCTTGGCATATCAAAAGTTCATATCTAAAAGGTCCTGGTCTGACCTTTAAGTTCCAGTTCTGAACAGCGTTCCAAGAGCACTGAGATTTTCACTGTTTATTTCACTGCCTGTGTTTGTGTGTCCGAGACAGACTGTCAGTCTGGGTATTTTTCAGTGACAATTTCTGCAGGTTACATCAATACACCAGAAGGGCTTAATGAGTCATTTCAATGAATTATTCAGTTCTTGCACAATTCTGTTTTGAATTTGTTTGGAACTATTTTCTATGGTGGAGCAAAAACAGACAAAAATAACTTGCAATATTGTGCAAGTTACTAAATATTAAATCCTTGTTTTTTGAACTTTTTCATGAAGTCAATATGACCCTCGCAATTGTGTTGTTGTTGGTCTGAACAACCCCATCTCATGAAAGTGCGTATCAATAACGCGAGTTTCGATTTGGCGTACTGTTTATACCCAGAAATTGACTTTGGAGTGCATATGATACGCAATGGGTAGGATTAGGGGTGTGGGGTAGATGCGTATCATATTTACGTGAATATGCATGCCAACAAATTGCATATCATATGCACGCGAAACCTGCGTATTATATGCACACCAAATGCGTACGTATCATATGTACGCCAAAGTAAATTTTTGCACATCAATGCCACGATTTTCTGTTTTTATTTGGTGTACTATACGCATTTTCATGAGTTCGGGCTCCTCTGAAATAGCACAATAACAATGGAACAAGAGCACTCTTGATATTACTTATCCTTTAAAGAACAAAATGTTAAGACTGTTGTACACTTTTAGACAAGGCAGCAACATCAAAGCTTGTCTTTAAGAACTGATCCGAATTTCGTTCAAATCTTTCAGTATTAGTGATGTAAACTTTTGTCATATTTCGGTACTTCATATAATGATCACCTTAAAGTTATAATTCATCCAAAAATGAACTTTCTGTCATCATTTCTCACCCTTGTGTCGTTCCAAACCTTTATGATTTTTGTAGAACATAGAAGGGATTTTGAGAAATGTCACAGGTTTTTTGGGGCACAAGTCAATGGTCACCAAAATAGTTTACCGACATTCTTCAAAATAACTCCCTTTTTGTTCCACAAAACAAAGAAACTCATGAAGGTTTAGAACTGTGAAGGTGACTAAATGATGACATTTTTTAAAAAACTATCCTAACTATCCTAGAAAAGGAGAGTAATAGACAGACAGAACCTAATTGGACTCTTTAGTGGGCCGCTACTGCACACTTAGTCTGATAGTAATGGTGTCTCTAAATTTTTGATACCCTTCTTTTTTTACGCCAGATGGGCAGATAAACAGCAGATGGGCTTCATCTGCACACTCAATACCTTGATATCCAATCCTAATGAAAGGTAATGTCACTTTTATTATGCAGCACGCTAGTCTCAGTTCAGCCTCCTTAACATGCAGCTCAAATCGTGAGTGCCATTTTCTGCTAGACCATCTCCTGTTGGGTTGAGGCTGCTCATGGCTGCAAACCATCCATGCACGTCCACGTTCCCTTGCACCTCGCTCTCCTCTCCACTCTTTCTCTCTGTTGCTGGGCAACGATCTTTAAGAGGGCTTTAAAAGAAATAAATAATATGCTGCAAATAGACTCTTCTGGATTTTTTAACATTTGGAGAAGAGTGAAACAGCCCATCACACACCGTCTGTGAGGTGTAGACATGGCATCTGGCTCAAGGGCCTTTAGCGAGAACGAGGAGGGAGGGGGGATTGTTGACGATGAAAGGTTTGAAAAAACATTTCTGCTGTACCTTACCAAGGCTGTACTAGTGAACATGAAGTACTGAGGGACAGCTATTAGAAAAGCATCCGAGTTGTGAACTACATGTTTAAGGGTCTAATAACATTAGGAATGGATGTCACTTGGAATTTTCCCCTGAAATCTTATGCCATTTGGACTCCAAAAAGTAGTCATTTATAATGCCTGTTCAAAAAGTAAATTATAATAGAATTTCCAGTTATTCTTTTGTAGCAATGGTAGCTAAGCTAACATGTCGATTGGCTTTCTTGTGATAAATTCTTTGTGTTCCTCATTTGTAAGTTGCTTTGGATAAAAGCGTCTGCTACATTAATTATGTGAACAAAAATGCTAATTTAGCAAGCTGATTGGCTAGCATTGTGCAAGCCAATAAGTAATAGGCTAATTCTCGCTGTATGTTGAAATTTAAAATGTAAAAAAAAACAAAATAGTGATTAATTAGGCCGTGTTTCTGTTACATAATATGATACTGTATGCGACACATACTGTAATTTGAGGAACATTAGCCTAACTGTCTTATTTACATAGAAGACGTGATGGTAGATTAACTTTTTGGGGTAAATTATATTTTAAGGTGATGTAGTTACTGTAATGTCAGGTGAACTAAAAACAAAAAAAAACAAAGAAGAGCTGAATCCAAATGCAAAGTTAGTTTTATTAAAAAAACAAATATCCAGGAATAGAAAGAGAAAACCAGGAAACAGAATGAGAACACCAAACCACCATGAATGACAAGACCAGACAAAGAACACAGAAAACACAAGGGCTTATATACTCCTTGTGGCATTTTGTTTGTGTCATCTTTACCATATAATCCAAACCGCTTATAAGTTGATATTCACTTAATATGATGTTCAAGCAGGGCCGTTTCTAGGCATAGGCGAGCTAGGTGGTCGTACTGGCACTTTTAGCAGGGTTGTGATAAAGAGTGGCACAGTCACCCTGAAATATGACTGCCGCCCCCACTGGATCCCCCAACATTATTGGGCTAGAGTACTGTCAATCTGACGATGCCTGTATGCCTCTAGATCAGAGTGCTGTCAATTGCTGCCTCTGATTGTTGCATGCAAAGTTTGCATTTGGAGAGCTCAACGTCGCCATTAGATCAGTGGGCTCTGTCAGTGCTTTAGCAAGGTAACACTTTTTTTTGCCATGCAATAAAGCTAAGTTCAAAGGCCAATTTAAAATATTGGTATAGTAAATAAAGTGCACAAAATCAGTATTTTGTTTAGGCAGTATTTGTGGCACTTTTGTCCAAATATTAGTTTGGGGTAACAAAGGGGTTTTATAGGTTTGACCCCAATAATAATGCAATAATTGACACTTTAAATCAATGTTTCAAGAAACAACAACAAAAGAATTGAACAAAAATCAAAGACAAAAAAGTAGCCATTGATAATATCTAAACAATATGTAGTAGTATAGTATATAGTATCCAAATCAAAATTTAATACAATTAATTTATGTGTGATTTATGTGTAAATTATATGCAATGTCTTAGCCACTAGGGATTGTTACATAGGGCTATACAGGCATCTAGTGGCAACACAATGATATTACAGATACTTAATTGTGCAAAATGTTTATCTTAACAGTCAATTTACAAATAATGCATTCAGATTTGTGGCACTCAATGCACTGA